GTTTGTGTTTTTTTGAAAAGAGAGAAGTGTGTGTGTGTGTGTGTGTGTGTGTGTGTGTGTGTGTGTGAGAGAGAGAGATCAGAGAGGGGGGGGGGGGGGTATAATAACGACTAAATAATTATACCCCCTCCCCTTAAATCATTAATTTAAACAAATGTTGTAGATTAATAACTCGCTGGGGCATAGGGCGTCTTGTATTTCCACCCTCCTGACTAACCACCATGGTTTTGGAAATTAAGGGGCGGGGGAGCTGGGGTATCTTAAATAAAAACATTTTTTATCCACATGCCACTCACGCTCGCGTGTACATTGTATTAGTAGAGTGTAGGCTATTAAAGCTCCAAGGGATTGTCATAATTGATTAGCATATGATAGGCCCAGCAAGGCGAAATAATTAAGCCTACTATAGCATGGGTGATGACAGGAGGTCCTGGTTCGGATTGTATCAGAGTGTAAAGTTCAGCTTTAGCCTAAATAGGTGCATATACATACCAGGTAGCTTATTAATTCTATCCAAGACGGGCTTCGCTTTTCTCGGCAATCTATGGGGCGATTTTGTCCGAACCCTCGATAAGTTGTTTCATATTCACGTCTTTTTAAAATAAGATTTTCACCTTATTAGTTATCCCAGTCGTTATAATCCATTATTTTAATATATTTTTCCTAATTTTATTAAGATAAGATACATCTTTAATTTCCAGATCGTGGCACATTGGTTTGGTGTTTCACCAGTGCACACACACACACACACACACACACACACACACACACACACGCACACGCACACGCACACGCACACGCACACGCACACGCACACGCACACGCACACGCACACGCACACGCACGCACGCACGCACGCACACACACGTAGGCTTACAATCACATGCATAATATTAATGAGCAGCAATATAAACAATAATAATCGTAAGCTGGATACACACTCAATGTTATTTTGATGCATGCTCTAAGGTCGTAAGTATACTTATACAAGATGGTTAAGATGGAAGCATTTTATAAATGATGGTAAAAATGACTTTCTAATCTATATCTTTCTTTGTTACAGATCAGAAGCCTAGGTCTTTTACTTTTGACTGATGTTTTTATTTGAGGGAACAAGGGATACTTGTTGTCTAAAAAGATGGAATTAATTTTTGTTAGCGCAAGCTGTTATGTACAGTTCATCCAAGTAGGGGAATATGGATGTTGAAATTTTACATGCTTTCCGTATAAGTCGATTTAATTTTTCTTTATCTTGTTGTCTTGTGTTCCCGGCCCATATGCTATTGTACAAAAATTGATCATACTTACTATGGTTGAATGCAGTGGCGGGGCGCCATTGGTGCAATTGGTGCAAGCGTTCCACCGAACCCTGGCCTTAACCCCCCCCCCCCCCCCCACCCCTTTTCTAATTGTTCTAAACCAGTCAGTTCTCAAGATCTAGGGCCTACATACTAGCCTACATCCTTGCGACCCGTCACCCACTGGCTGCGCACGCGCCAGTGAAGAGACAAACAGCGAGGAGGGTTTATGCTCGTCGCACCGCTTGCGGTACTGTCTGCTGGGAGCAAGCAAAATCTTTGCACCAAAGCTATTTTTGTCACTGTAGAGAAATCTAGGCATCGTTCTTCCCGCACAAGAAGAAAGGTGTGTGAAACTCCTCTTCGCAGCACCAATTTGGTGCAAGCTAAAAATTTGATCCAAGTTACCGCTAGCCTACTATCTACTACACTAGAAGAGTCTACGGTAACTCAATGAAGAATGGGTTTAAAACTGTTGTCGCCCTCTGTTGTGTAGCAAGTCCTGTTAAGGTAAATTTTCAAATTGAGTCTGGTTGTTGGTGCTGCACGAAGTAATTAGAAATCGTTAAATCTTCTCAGATTGTGAGCATATTGAGTTGTTAGTATTGTTTCACTTTATTTAAGTTTTTATTCGGTTTCATCTAGAAACAGTTGTGTAAATATCGATAGATGTAGGTTACGGGATATCCTGCGGATTCTAACTGACTTTCTCTAGAATATTGATGAATCACGTTGACCCTTTGCTTCTTGTGCTATTCAGCAGGCTACAGTTAGAAGAGAAAGTGCGCATAAAAGAGCTTGGTCCTTATCAGCCGCGGGATTTTGAGCTCAAGAAATGTTCACTTTCTTCCTGTACGTAGTATGATAAGTAGAAATTGTACTGTTTCCATTACAAGTCTGCTTTTTACTGATCGATCAGACACTGACAAGGTTTGGCCATCAATCACACTCGCTCTCTCTTTGCCTTTCTCTTTTTTCCTCTTTAAGGGGGGGGGGGGGCTACACCTGGAGGCTATCTCGCTTATTACTGGACCGAATTTTACCACATTTTACACATATAACAAGCATAGTAAGGAGTCTTGAAATCCGCAATCAAATTTGAGAAAAAAGTTTTGTTTCCATGGATACGCCGCCATATTGGATTTTATTGACATGTCTTACGTAATGAATACCGCACTTATCGCTCATGGAAATTGATTGTTTTTTTGCATGCGTGTTAACAAACATTAGATCTAAAAATTTGTCTGTTGTTTTTTTCCTAATCGAATTAGAAAATTTTTAATGAATTTTTTCCTGAGGTAGCATTCAAGTTTGTGAAAAATCCGTGAAAATCCACACTCCAGACACCACCAACAAAAATCTATTCCATATATCAAAAATTCAACAGACACATTTTTAGTATTACCTCTTCTCTTCATTCTGTGAAAATTTCATGAAGATTGGATAAAAATGGTGGAGTTATTCAAAAAAGTATAGAGGAAAGTCGCATTTTGAGAAAACGGCCGATAAAGAAAAATAAAATACTGACTTTATGAGGAAATGGCGGTTACAAACATGTCCGGTACGGGGAAAAGTACGGTTTTTGGGGGTTCTTATGCGATGAAATAGTTGTAGGAGAGGCTGAGGAATCTAAAAATGCCTACAACTCAAATTCCATGATTTTGAGCCGAATTTTGATTTTGGGGGTGTAGCCCCCCCCCC